ATGGGTTTGTTAATGCTAGAGGGACTGGCTATTAGGCAGGATGACCATAGAAGGAAATGCTACAGTGAACCATTTGATCTTTCAGAGACTCAAGCCGAGGACCCCACAAAACAAAGAGGAAAAACAGAGGGCTCATTGGCAAGGAGCTGAACATAGATAATCACTCACACCTCAAGGTGCACTGCCACCAGACTAGATTCTGGCCAGAAAGTGTGCCTTTGAGCCTAGATAGGCCCAGGCCATGGCAGACATAAAAATAACTATTATTTTTTAACCTCAATCTTACCTTATTCCAGACCCAAACACCAAGGCACATACATATACTTAGAAACTCTGTGAATGTGGACCATGGTGACGTTAGAGTCACACCTCCTCCATGACCAAGCCCCGTGTTTTTATCTGAGCCAACCATCGGGTGAGCTAGCGAGATGCCCCAAAGCCAGCCCCGGAGATGCCCTGGAGCTGTTCATAAGAGGGACCTTCCCACTGCCCTCCTGCCCAGCCAGAGCCCCTCACCGTCTGGTTGGCCTGAGCCTGAGAGCAGGGCTCTCCAGCTGACCGTGCCTCAGCCTGTCATTTCAGGTTTCAGTCCGTGGAAACCAGAGCCCCTGTCGCTTCAGGACTGTCCCTGGGGAAGCTGTTCAGAAGGCAGCCTCGCCAGATGGCTCAGGCCAGCCTGCCAGAGTGGCATCTGCAGGGACATCTGCTTATACTCAGGGCCTGGCCTGGGCTGCGGGCCCTGGGAGGGAGCGCTCAAAGGCTTGCTCTCAGTTGTCCTGCCCTCAGTTACCAAGTCCACAAGGACACCCAGGACACCTTGAAACACAAGCAGGTGAAGGCATGTCGCCTTCCCATCTCAGGTCTGTGCTGGGCCTCGTGGGCGGGACATCGCATAGAGGAAAGCAAGCATATGCCACATCCCGTTTGGGACAGAACACGGGGACTCCCATTCCAACTGCACTTAGTTGTATGAACTTACATTTCTCAATAACCTGTCATTCAGTGTCGTCATCTTTAAAATGGGGAAAAACAACATAAAAACACACACCTCTTCGTGCTCTGCCTAATCCATGGGCAGCCATAAAGCATAAGCAAGCACTTGGTGAACCATAAAGAAAATGCAAGGTGATACTCTTTTTATTCTCAAATGTTTACGTGTAATCAACTCCCTGCCAAGGCCTGAGCTCCCATCCTCACTTGCCTATTCCTCAGGGCTGCCCAAAGGGCTCCCAGGGGGCTGAGCAACCCCCAGCCTTCTGGCAGCCCAGAGGCCTTGTCACACTGTACCCAGCTACAAAAGCCTCCTGGGTGAGCCAAATACAGGGTGAGATTTCCAATTGCCTAAAAAAGCAGCCATATGCTTTCTTCAAAAGCCTGCTGCTCCTGGCTCCTGTCCTGCCGGTACTACCTTCATGGGGGCGGGAGCTTACCACAGCGGCATCACCTTGAGGTTCCTCCCACGGTCCCCTTACACAGCCTGTTACTCACCGTTCTCTCTTCCTTCTCACATCTTGGCATCTCACAGAACCAGGCCTGACCCTCAGTCCAGTCATGGCACCTAAAGGAACCTTCTTCACCAGCCTGAACTGGTGTCCTTGCTATGAAATGAGCACATGGAAGTTGAGGATCTGTTGTGAGGATTCGATAAAGTTGTGTTTGCCAACTGCACAGCATGCATGAGCTGGCTGTTACCTTCCAGCTCAGCTGAGTGGCCCACTGACATCCAGTGACACAGCCTTTCCTCATCCCACTGCTGTATCATCAACCCTTTCCATCCCGTGGCCTGGGCTCTCCCCCGCTCCCTTTTCTGCTGCTAAGATCACATGCATCCTTCACAGCCATCCTTCAGATGCTACCTACCTTGGCATCAGGAGTGAGGCCCACTTCCTCTGAACCGTAAAGGGTTCTTGCCCTTTGTTGCTGTAACTCCTGAGGCTCTTGACATCACTACGGTGCCCTTTGCTTCTGTCTATCACCACATCTAACAGAATTCCATGTTTCTCTTCCTTACACATACCAGCTATTTCCTTGTTTCTAAAAGCCCGGGAGGCATGGTGGGTCTTCAGTCACAACCCTCTGCATCTGGCACTGGCACTCGGAAAGCGATCCGGAAGTGGTGGGAGGACTTGCGGAATAAGACACCAAACACACCTCACGTGCTAATTTCTTTAATAAACACCTTACAGTCGTACAGAGTAACGTGCTGTGGCTGTTACCTTCCAGTGCAGGGATGGGCTCTGTTCACTGTGCTCCCCTCAAGCCCTCTCTCGGGCACCAGCTGACATGCTCACTGGTGGCGCCACAGTGCAGAGCAAGCGTCAGCCAATGGCTCATAGTGGACAGAAGGGAAAGGGACACTCCAGGGCAGTGCTTCCCTTTCATGTGCAAGTCTGTCCTCTCGTCTCTGGTTGGCCGCAGCCAGCCATTTCTGGGCAACTGGATACCAGAGTCCCCAGTTACCAGGGAAAAGAGGAAGCAGAGTTGTGACTTGGGAACAAAGACATAGATGGGAGGGGTCTTGGGAGAGGCTGCCTGTGACCCCACGGGGGGGGGGGGGGGAAGAGTCGCAGAACTCTGACCATCCTGGGGAGCGAGGGGGAGCTAACACCCAAAGTCCTTTAACTTGATGAGTGACCGAAGGAGCTCAAACACTAATCTGGGCACAAGGGCTGAAAGGACCTGCCCCAGGTGGAGGGCTTTCCAGCCGCCACAGCAGCTGGAATGAAGAAGAGCATGCCCTCCAGGCCGTGGGGAACTGCAGGCGTCCCCAGCAGAGAAGAAAATACCTTTACGTGAAGGATGAAGAGAAGCATGCTCACTCCACTCCTGGCGGACAGAGCACAGACCTGCCCTGGCACGGCCTGTGGGCTCCGTGTCCTTGTGGGCGCTGCCACCTCCTGAGCTGGGCTAGGCCAGGATGTCTACTGCCTCCATCTCAGACAAGGACGGACCCTGCACAGGGCTAGATACCCCGCCAAAAATTCGGGTACCTTCTCCAAGAAAACAATTTTACACTTTTTTAATGGAGAGTTGAAACTTTTCCATTGTCCTTCCCATGGGGAAGCCTACCAGAATCCCAGAAATAAACATTTGTTCTCTTCTTGGGGCACTAAATGTCACCCAGACAGCGAGCGGTTTCTCTCATGCCTCCCAATTGGCAGTCAGGAGGATGAGCGTTGTTGGATAGACTGCTCCTTCTTTCCTTAGTAACTAAGCCACCCTCATCCCATGTCCTCTTCATCTGTTCCAGAACAGTCTTCCTTCCTGTGTGACGTGTAGCTCCAGATAGTGAGGGGTCACATGTCCACGTCCTGTTTGCACAGCCATGGACTTGGTGTTGATGGGAGACTAAGCGGCTTCAGGGGAGGCAAGCTCTCAGCCCTCCCCGAGATGACAAACGGGGGTCTCAAACAAGAAATTAGTTCCTGATGCCCATTCCCCAAGGCCTAATCCAGAAACTGTTGCCAAGAAACACAAATGTCATAGACTTCATGTAAGAAGGCCAGCCTGGGATGCAAGGAGAGGTGGGTTAACTGGTGCGGCATGAACGGCCCATGTACCCAACTAGAAGGAATACAAAGTGGACCCTAAATAGTTGAAATTCTTCTTTCTCCCCACAGAGTGTCACCCTTGTTCCATGTGTTTCCATAGCGTGGTCAGATGGAGCTATCTGGGCCACAGATCTCACACATCAAGCCTGAAGAGAAATTACTCTGATTCGGAGTCAGTCAAAGGATCCCTGTGGTGAGCGATGGAGCCTGGAACAAGGTGGTGTCTGCTTGCACATTTCATCTCTGGACCTTGATTACCCCTGGCCTCTCTCTTCTCCATAGCTTCCCTCTGCTCCTGCATCCTCCCTGTTCTTCCATCTCCTCCTGCCTTCCTGTCTGTCATTTCCATAACATTTTCTTCCCCAGAAAGTCAATAATTGGTCATGCGGCTGTGAATGATGGCCAGGCTTGGGGACTTAAAAGAAGGGAGATGGGAGCCACGTAGGAGGAATGTGTGACTTGCTATAATCCTAAAACGAACGTGCTGACTGACTGGCAGAGCACCACGCTGGGAACAGCACATGGGAAGGGCAGAAATCCTGGATCTCACCAACCCCACTAAGAGTTCAGAGAAGCTAACATTCTTTTCAGACAGCCACTTAAGAAACATGGTCCAGTTCTCCTGTGGTCCTGTCAGGAGTGGGTACTCCTGCCCAACTTTCTGCGCCTCCTCATGCCATCTTTCCAACCCCATCTCCTCAAAGCAGGCCCAGCTCCCAGCTCAGCTCATAAAAAGATGATTAGCCGATTCAAGAGCCCCAACTAATCGGTCTCTCTTTCCTCTATTTTCCTCAGCCAGCCCATCCCCATGGATACAAAGATGGTAGAAGGACTTGCCTCTCTGTCCTCAAACCCTCAGTGTTTATTTTGGATATGAGCTTCACAGCAGCATGTGTGGAACAATGGATAGTTTTTAGCTTAGTAGACAGCAAAAAATATAACACTTATATATATATATATATTTATATAATTATGTTTAAATACTTATAAAGAATAACTAACCTCATTATCATTATGGGCGACTACACAGATGACAGGGAGAGAGCCAGTTTAGAACAGATGAGTCCTGAAAGGTGGCAGTTCATTCAAACTAGGTGTGGAGAGTGTGTTTGGTAATGGTGTACAAGTTGGGTGGGGCTGAGGAATGGGCAGGGTGCCCAGCAGGGAGCAGGCAGAAGTTGAGGATGGAGTTGGATAAAATATAAATGAGGGAGGAGGGTCCTTGTACACCTATCATATTTCTCCTAATTTAATCAACTGCCTACGATTCTTCCCTATTTGAGCTACTTGATGCAACAGGTGGCTCCTACAGACCTCCTCCTGCATTCCTCATAAGCTCTATGTTCTTCTTCATTCCAGGAACTTCCTTCCTCATTCACCTTTTGTTTCCTTCCCTGGAGGACTCTCTTTCTTCCTGCCTCTAGAGTGGTAGGAGGGACTCCTCCGCAGTTACTGGTTCTCTTCTGCCTTGGGGTCTCTGCAGGTGCATTCATCCAGGTCACAGTCAGCAGCGAATGGGATGACCTGAGGGTTAAGGAGAAGATGAGGTGGGGGAACAGCAGCAACTGCCCCGGAGGACATCTATGTGATTGAAGTAAGATGATGGGTATAAAGCACACATTTCCAGGAACCTATAGCTCCTGTAACTCCTCCTTCTAAAGTTACCACTAATGTCTAAAACTGTTGCTGTTAATGTTTTTGTCATATTATTGTGAACACAAAATCTCTATCAAGTAGGTAAGATGAATGTCAGTGTTTTTTCTTCACCGAGAAGGCCAAGAGAGGTTGGGTGACTTAACCACGACACACCACCTGGAAAACCAAGGCCCTATCACCCAGGTCTAGGGCTCTGTGCCAGGATGTGCTTGGAGCAATGGGACCATCTGGGCTCTTCATAAGCATGAGGCTTGCCTTTCTTGAATCAAGGATACGCTCTGGCTTGATGAAACAGTGCATCTCTCTACCCACTGTTTATGGCTAGACTGCCTTCCTGTTATGTAATTATCCCTCCTTCATGCCAGACATGGTCCAAGAAAGTCTGCACTGTTGGCACTTCTATCAATAGATAAACACACTTTTGGGATGTCCATAACTAGCTTCAGAGAGATTGGGGCATTCGGGACACAGGATGTAAAGTGGCAGAGATTCTACCCTTTGGCATGGACAATCAAATGAGATAAAAATAGATGTGTTTTAATGGTCCAAACACACTGGGCAGAAATACCATCTCTTGCATATTTCTGATTCAATAAATTGGCCAACGCTTAGCATCAAATATCTTTTGAGGATTTTTTTTTCTTTAATCCACATTATTGCAAAATTTCAGCCTATTGAATTTTACAGGCTTAGCTTAAGCATACTTGCTAATGTAATAGAACCCAGATAAATAGGAATAAAAGGTATTGAGAAGAGAACCACTGTTCAGGATATGAAACTCCAGGAAGTTTGTGGTGGCCATTCAACATATGTTTGCAATATGCTTATAATATACTTTATAGGATATTAATTTAATTGTAAAGATTAATAACTGGATATTACTTCCTGCATCTCTGAGGAGTGGAGGCCATTATTTCCTAACTACAAAGATGTTTCCTGAAGGGTAAGCAGGTGTGAGTTTCTCAGGAGCAAAAGCCAGGGCTTTTCTGAAGGAGGTACTGTACTGACAATTAGAGAATTAACACTTTTGAAGGAGTTATTCTAAAAAACCACTATCCTGAATCCTGTCACTTTAGAAATCCCCGTGTTTGTTCATTGTGACTCCCTCTTCTTGACTGTTGAATAAAAACAAATTGTGATATACCAAGGAAAGAAGGAAAACTAGCCAATGCACCTGCTTCTTTCCTGGGGCTGTCCCACTCCCGCCCCCCGGAGGGCCCTCACTTACCTTCTTGGAGGAGAGTGTGGAAGAGCAGCAGTCACCCCCATCGTAATGGCAGTAGGCTCGGTTGTTGATAGTATCACACCAACCATCTGCTTGGAAAGGCTGGCAAGGAGGTGGGAGTTCAGTGTGCAAGCCCAGCTCCATCTCCTCTCCCACTCTGCCCCGCCCAATTTAAGCTGCGAACTCAGGAGACATTGTGGAAGAACACCCAAGCGGCATGACACAATTGACCTCCCATTCTAAGAAGTTAAAATCTCAAGACCATCAGGCCTAAGGAATGATCAAATTTCACCTGTAGAGCCTGCACCTGGCCTACTCAGGGGTCCAGAATGTTCGTCTGAAGTCCTTGATGAATTGTTTCATATTCTTGTAATAACAGGCCCTTATATCATGTAGGCTACAAAACAGCTTCACACATTTCATTTCATTTTTTTTTAATCCTCACTAAGAGATATGTTTTCACTGGGTTTTAGAGAAGAAGGGAGAGGGAGAGAGAAACATCAGTGTGAGACACATCAATCAATTGCCTCTCACAGTTGCCCTGACCAGAGATCAAACCTGAACCCAGGCATGTGCCCCAACCTGAAATCAAACCCACAACCCTTCAATGCAAGGCAGAGCTGACTTTAAAACTCCTGTGTTACCAGTGAGGGAGTGGAGATGCATAGAGATGACAAAGATTGCCTGGGTCTCACAGCTAAAGCAGAGTTTAGGATCAGCAGTCATGTATCTTGACGTTTTGGTGCTTCTCACAGACTATGACTTTCACCCCTTCTCCTGGCACTTGTACTTAGGATCCTATCAGTCCTACGGTGCTATGAAGACTCAAATGATGTCTGTCCAGAGTGCAGTGGTTCTCGGGCCTGGGACACCCGTGCTGGAGTAGAGATAGTCCAACCTGCATAACCACTTGTGCACAGCAGCTAGACATAGGGTTATAGCAGAGAAAGCTAAAACATTCCCATTCACTGCTTCGAGTTCATAGAAACTAAAATGGGAAAAGGGCCCAGGCCAAACCAGAGTTAATGGAGTGTTTCACCCCAAAAGGCAATGTGTGATAAGAATAGCAACAAGCGGTTAAAAAAGTAGCTCAGCGGCCCAATGCATTGCTTCTATCTGTTTTCCGATGGTCTTCAGCTCTACAGCAGCAGTTCTCAACCTGTTACGACCCACAGGTTGAGAACCACTAGCAGGGTCACCTAAGACCATCAGAAAACATAGGTATTTACATTATGATTCATAACAGTAGCAAAATTACAGTTATGAAGTAGCAATAAAAATAATTTTATGATTGGGGGTCACCACAATATGAGGAACTGTATTAAAGGGTCGTTGAGAAGGTTGAGAACCACTGCTCCAGAACCACTCGTGGAGGGCAATGGTGGCCCACAGCTTCCTGGAGGTCACGGCAGCCAGCCCACCCACTCCATCACATTAGCTCTCCCCATCCTGAGTGATGCCCAAATGCAAAGTCTCAGGAAACATCTCATGGTCAGATTCTCTGTCCACAAGACAGTCAATAGACTCCTGAGTCCTGAGGCCACCTTCCGGTTTACATGTTCACATCACTTTCCCCCACCCTCCTTAAATGTCAAATAGAAGGACTGTTCTCTATTTTGCTGTGCTTTGATGAGACAGATCACTAAACTAAAATTTTTTTTAAAAAGTCCATTAAATAATTTTTAGCAATTAAGTTACATCAGAACAAGCTCCTCCAAGATATTACTTCAGTGTTTTGATTTACTCTACAAGGTCCCGAGGTCACTTGAGCATCATTCCAGATGTGTACCCCTTTGCCAATCACCAAAAAGTGGCTCCTTGTGCGGTGGAACTCAACGGGTGTTGCACAGCTGCACAATAATGTCCGCAGCAAGCCGGAAGTGAAAATGAATTCTGTTTTCAACACGGGCCTCACCAGGCTTAAGAGAAAAGATTCCAATAGGAGCATCTGTCTTTGACATGAAGCCAGGTCTCTGGCTCTGGAGAACGAAGAATAGATACACCTTTAGGATCTGGGTCCCTACTGCAGCCAAGTAATAGATCAAAATACAGCTACCTGCATCCTAACACCTAGCAACGCCCAGAGGAGGACCAGATACATCTGTGGAGATTCCCCCCCACCACCCCCAAGTTTTTCTTTTTCAAGTGTTTGGAGTTTATTTTCTCATATAACGTGACATCTGTTCCTTTTCCTCCAACCCTGACTTATCACTGGCACAACATCATCGGTTCCTCCTTTCCTTTTCATCCAGTTGTCTATAAAAGAGACCACCCAAAATTCATTTCCCACACATATAAGTATGGTTGCAGTATGGATGGCTTTAGCATTTGGATGAATAAAGGATCCCGGGGAATCTTTCTTTCCTAACTGCTGCCCAAGCATGGCTTCTCACCTCAAGAACATGAGGGAGGACACGCAGAGAGAAGTGGTCTAGGTGACCTTCTAGGCCCCACTGCACTTCCACTGCCACAGCCCAGACAGGCTTCCTACAAGCTGCTGCTGCAACTCTGCTCTCAGAGGGTCATCTGAGAAGGGAATATGTAAGAAGGAGCAGAAATGCAGAGAAAGGGTTGGAAAAACCCCAGTATTTAATTTACTATATACCTATTAGAATTAATTGCTCCTCCCCCAACCTGCCAAAAACAACTTCTCCACCCGAAACAAACAGAGGCTCCCATGGCAACACGGTCCTGGGAAGCTGAGACTGGAAAAAAATGGGAAGGGAAAAATGACTAATTGATCCCAAGTTTTTAAGCTTCTGTAGACTGGATGGAGACGGGAGATCTAAGTCTCAGTCCCAGAAAGATGTCCAGCCTGGGGTGGCACTCCTTCCCCGAAGCTTTCCCAAGGGAGAGTGCCAGAGGCTCAGTGTCTCTGCTGTGTGACCACCGACGGTGCCATGACACCATCCCCTACGCCCCATTCCTCCCGTCACATCAGGCAACAAAGTGTATTTTTCAAATACCTGAGCCTTATTCCTTTAGAAGCCACATTTTCATTTTAACCCTTTTTGACAAAAGAAAAGAGAACCTGTATAAAATGTCTATTTCACTGACTTCTAATAACTTACAGAATATAGAGTCATCGACATGAACACTGTGCGCACGCGCACGCGAACATACACACACACACACACACACACAAACAAAAACAAACAAACAAACAACAACAACAAAAAAAAAAACCCCAGGCCTGTCTCTGGCTTCTTAGAATCATACTTTAAGTGAATGGGTGAGTCTGAGAGTCTGGGTTGCTCTTCTCATGACCTACAAGCTGGATGGGCCCTATTGTAGCTGCTGGAAGGCCTTTCCTGCCAGCCTCTCTGTGCTAGTTGTGTTCCAGGCAGATGTGGCAGCCAAATAAATGGCTACGTGTAAGTGAAGGAATACGAAGAGGAAGGTGCTCAGTCTGCCTTACCTACTAGTACACTGCTTTGGAAACTTCTCAAATTGTCTTTACAATTTCTCATGTTATGTTTTCCGGGGATAAGCTGGTTAAGGTTTTGCTGGGGAATTAACCCTCGAGATGGTGGCCTTGTCTGTTGTCCATGGTTATAGTCACTTATGGGATTGGTCAACATTCTTTATCCCACACCTACAGGTGCCAGGCACTGTTACAAGAATATGTAAATGAACAAATAAAACATGGCTCTGGCCCTGCAGAGAACCCACAGTGAGCAGGTATCACTCACTCCCACAATGAGTGCTGGCAAAAGAGTGAGCAAAAAAGACACCCCTAATCCAGAACTGGGGGGCGGTGTTGGCATGAGCTCTCAGGGGCTAGCTCTACAGTAGCCCTTGTGGAGGATACACAGGACTGGATGAGAAAGGAAGAGAAGCCTGAGAAAATTATCGGGGGACGAAGGAGAACACAGAGAAGTGGGTGGTCCCAGACTGCTTAGCACAGGGCCTGCCCTGGAAAGAGTTCTGACTGGGTGGCTGGAAATACCTCTATGACTTGAATCAGACTAAGGATATTTTTCTTCTACAGCTTGAAGAAGTCAGGCCACATGTATATGTTAGAAAGGTTAGTTTAGACTTCAGATCTTCTAACCGACAGGCTGGGCTCTCAGCCAGAAGTGACTGTATCGCTTAGGGAAGGCATAGGCAGAATCCTGATTAAGCATCTTGAGGAGGGTTATGGACCAAGAGAAGATGTGATCAAGTGTTTGCCTGAGGCCTAACACATTTTCTTTCACCCACACCAACTCCCATCAAAACCCTCTAGTGATGTGAAAGACAAATGAGCCCCACACCCATTTCCTCACATTGATTGGGCTGCACCAGACCCAGGAGAAGCCCACTGTCCAGGACAGTGCTGAGGCTGCGCCCAAGGGGGCCCCTGTTGCAGATACAAGCTGGTGAAAGCATACTACTCTTCTGTGTGTGCTAATTCTCTTTCTTCTGACCCCTTGAATGGTGACCTCTGGCCTGATTCTTCTTACCGTATTTTCTGGCGTATAAGACGATTTTTGACATGAAAAAAAAAAAAAAAGCCTGCTCAGATTGGCCAGAGTCAGAGAGGCGGTCTATTAAAAAAAGAACTGGTGTTGCCTCGGAAGTGGGGGGTAGTCTTATACAGTGAATATAGGCCTAAACCTATGTTTTAACTGTAAAATTAGGGGGTCGTCTTATATGCTGGAAAACACAGTACTCTTCTTTTGCTGCGTGGATCTGCCTACCATGTCCACACTGCCTGGGATCCATGACAAGGCACTCTTAGCATCTCAGAGCCAAAACTTGAGAAGTGTTTGAGGCCACTCAGGGACCCTTGACAGCCACAATGCTTTTTGCTTGTTTTGTTGTTTTAAGGATCATAGATACATGAAATTCTAAGGCGTAATGGAGCCTTGAAGACCACTTAAGCACAAAATTCCCATTTTACTAATGATGAAATAGAGCCTTAAAAAGGAGACATGTTAGTGGTAGCCCTGGGAACTGAGCCCAAATGTCTTGATTCTTGACCTGATGCTCTTTCTATAAGGCCAGGCTCCCATGATTTGATGATTTCATTAGTCTTTTATTGATTGGGAATGCAGGGTGAGGTAAATTCCCTTGGCACCTCTATAACAAGAAATTAGGTGCAAAGGCATTAATCATGA